GAAGAAGATGAGCTCCAGCGACACACCCCTGGGCACTGTGGCTTTGCTCCAGGAAAAGCAAAAGGCCCAGAAGACACCGTACATCGTGCTCAGCGGCAGCGGCAAGAGCATGAACGCGTGAGTGGGCCGGGGCCATGGGATGGGCGGGTGGAGGGCCTGGCCCGCACTCCAGCCTCACGCCCTTCTCTGTTCCTCTCTACAGGAACACCATCACCAAGTGAAGCCGTGCTTCCCTCCGGTCCCCTCCCCAACTTTAATATTAAATAAAGTTCCCTCCTTATTTTTTCCTCCCTCGTCATGGTGCAGATTCCAGGGTTAGACCTCAGAGGAGAGGCAGGCGGTGCTGGCAGGCTCAGTGGTCAGCTATGTGGCCTCAGGCAAGTCACTGAACCTCTCTGAGCCTTCGTTCTGCCATTTGTACAGGATGTCCTGTGAAAATTAAATGAGCTCATTCATTCATTCACCTGGAAATCAGAAATGAGCAAGACCCCTCTGAGTTGGCTTAGAGTCTGGCCTCTACTGGGTGAGACCTGGTCTCTGATGACACAAATAACTAAACACGATGGACGGAGAAAACTAGCCTGGACCTCTGAGATGGTCCTCCACTCCTGCCCTAGGCACCAGCCACCCGGGAAGCCAGTCGTTTATCTTCTCAACCCCTCCCCTACTGCCCCTGCTGAGGTAGCACAGCTCCCGACGCTTTGTCGGTCTGGCCTTATCCTCTGCGAGGCAGGCTTTCCGGTAAGAAATGGAAGATGTTTAGAGACTCGGGCTCCTGGTCTGCCCTGGCTTCCAGTGCTACACGAGTCACTGCCCTCCAGGGCCCAGGACTGCCCAGCCTGGCAGGGCAGGGACTGGGCTGTGCGCAGGGTGGAGGGGCCACCCCATGGTCCTTGACCCCCTTGGCCTGTGGAGAAGAGCGAGTGAGTGCTCAGGGCAGCGTTCCTTAGAGCGCCTCCCAGACTTGTCCGGGAGCAGCTGCAGCAGGGAAGACGGCCCTGGAAGGGGAGGATGACAAGTGGCTCCCATGGGAGTTGCACAGAAGCTGCGTCCTGCCTCCACCGATACCCACATACATTCCAGATGCTTCAGATTTTTTTTAATGAAAAAATCCATAGGAGCAAATGAATTTTTATAAGTAATTGAAGTGGAAAAATGTAAGCAAAGAACAAAATACAGTTGCCTTAACCAATTGCTTTTGACGAGTGTTTGATGGCACCCAGCAGTCACTCTTTTCTCCTGTTTTGAGGTCTGGATCTGATGTAATTTTGGCTGCTTCCTCAGGTCCCTCAGGGGGTGTCTAGACTGGGTATAGGATTTGGGGGATCTCGGTCTCTTTCTCCCAAAGCCCAAGGCCCATCTGGTGTTGACAGGCAGCCCAGTGTCCCTGGCACTGTGGCTCTGGCCTGGCTAAGCTGCGTCAAAGCTCATGCTCTATCTGCTGCAGGAAATGGCCTGTTAAGAGGCTGTCCCCCTCGTTGGAGCCAGAAATGTCTACAGCAACAATGGACCAAACTGAACTGACCAGGTTTGGCCCAGAATTCCTCTCAGTTCTGACCCTGGTGACTGGGTAGACAGTGAACCGGGAACTTGGAAGGTCTTTCAGAGACAGGCCTCCTGGTTGGTACCATCCACCTGCTTCCTTTTCTGTCCTGTGGCTGCTGACGCCCAGGCAGGTGCTTGCCCTCCCCTGCCCTGATGCATGCTAACACCTCCCAGACGGCCTGCCCCCCTGACTGGGCAGGGAGGCAGCAACCAGTCAGCTCAGCACCGAGGAGGTAGGAGAGTCAGGGACCCCTGAATCCCTTGAGGTCTGAGCCCCCAGGGAGGGGGTGCACTCAGCTCTGCTGCTCAGTGGTGGGGTCCCACCAGCAGTATTTCCCGGACCCTTGGGAACTGGGGCAGCAATGCCTCCAAGGAGGTTGGTGTGAGTGAGGGTCAGTGAACTCTTTGCCGGAGCCTGGGGGCGAGCCAGCTGGGTGCTTTTCCATTTACTCTGGCTGACCTCGGGCAGCAACTTAGCATGGAGTCTTGGTGTTCTTATCTGCAAAATGGGGGCGTGATCTCAGACTTCCGGGGCTGGTGTATAGCATAGTTGAGAACATTCATTACTTCAGTAAATACATATATATGTGTATTACCATATATACACAAATAGAAGGGTGTGATGAGATCTGGGATTTACTTTCAGTTACTCCAATAGTAAAAAATATCAAGAAATATGGGGAGAAGGGACTAGCAAGATGTTGATAGTTATTGAAGATGGTAATGGGTACAGGGGTTCATTATCCTATTATGAGAGTTTTAAAATTTCCATTATAAAACTTGGTTTCAGGAGAGCTAAAAAATGTTGGCTTAGCAACAGAAAAATGTACATATGTTCAGCCAAAGACACAAACAGGAATGTTCGGAACAGCACTATTTATAACTGTCCAAATGGGAAACAACCCAAATGTCCATCAACAGTAGACAGGATAAATGGTGGATATTCATATCTTGACTTTAAGGACCACCCCCAAATTAGCATCATCATTTTTCTTTATAAAAATATATTTTATTGATTTTCTTACAGAGAGGAAGGGAGAGGGATAGAGAGTTAGAAACATCAATGAGAGAGAAACATCAATCAGCTGCCTCCGACACACCCCCAACTGGGGATGTGCCCGCAACCAAGGTACATGCCCTTGACCGGAATCGAACCTGGGACCCTTCAGTCCGCAGGCTGACGCTCCATCCACTGAGCCAAACCAGCCAGGGCAATTAGCATCATCATTAATGAACTTGCTCCTCGTTCCTTCTTGGTTTTCAGATCTCTCCTCTGGGGTCATTTTCATTCTTTCTGAGGTTCATCTTCCAGAAGTCCCTTGTGTCTGTTGGTGATAAACTCCCATATGCTGCTGGCCTGAATGTCTTTGCCTTGGTATAGGATGGGGTGGCTGACCTCACTCACAGAGCTGTTGTGTGACTCAAAGTGGCTCCCCCTTGGCCATTTCTCAGACTCGAACACCCTAGGAAGATGGAGTTGGCCTCACCCAGGGCCTCCACTCTAGCAGGCTGGGTCCCAGCCAATTGGGCCACACCCCTTCCCTGATTCTTGAGGCACCAGTTCCTGCCATCTCAGGGGATTCTGGTCCCCAAATCCCTTAGCCTGGCATTCCAGGCCCCATACCTTCTAGACTTAACACACCACATTACCTTCCCTTCCTCGGACCCCTGGCCTTTCTGTCCTCTGTGCACCTGCTCTAGGGGACACTTAGAGAAGCCAATTTCCCTTTGTACCAATATATGCACTGTCTTGGGGAGTAGGGAAGAGAGACAGGAGGGGTCCCACAAAAATGTCAGCTGTGGACAGAAAGGGGGACCAAAAAAGGGGAGGACCTCACTACAGAGGCCTCCTCTCACAAAGCTATCTGGCCACAGGTAATATATAGGATTGATAAGAGACCCTGATCGCCGACTAAATTATGGGAGTAAAATGCTGAATTATGGGACCTACATGAAAGAGGAAGGCACTTGGAAGTTCAGAGATGAAGCAAAGAGAGATGAGTCCCAAAGCTTCAGCAGTTTCCAGAAGGGGAACTATTGAAATAGAGGGGTGAGGCGGTCCCTAGGGAGAAGACCCCTTCAGCGATTCGAGTGCTGAGGTCTCAGCCCCTCCGCCCACTCTAGTGTCCCACAGCCTTCTGAGCCCCATGCTATTTTCTGAAGCAGGGTTTCTGGTGGTGGCGGCGGCGGTGAGATACGCTCAGCCATGGACACTGCTGTGTGAGGCCCAGCTCCTGATCTGGGAAAGACTAGGGCAGCTCCCACCTCTCTCCCGGAGTCCCTGAGCATGTCTGTGTGCCTGAGGGGAGGGGCTGATAAGGCCTTGGTGAGTGAATGCCCGGTGGGGATGTGGAACTTGTGCTACCAGCGGTGGACCAGGCACAACTGCTGCTGGACCCTTTGGTCGGACAGACTGCTGCCGCTAGACTGTAAGTGGGATGGTGGTTTGGGTGCTGCAGCCCAGGGACAGTGGCTGAGGTTCCGCTTGAGCGTGCTTACTGCGACCCCTGCCGGAAGCTTCTATAAATGTCTGCTGAATATGGAGCCAGGAATGATTCCTCCTCCTCACACCTGCCAAGGTCACGCAGCGGGATCCCAGGGCACACCCCGAGGAGAAGAGTGGGCTTCCCCGGGAATTAATGAGAACAGACCCAGCACTGTTCCATGCTCAACAACCCGATGGCTGACAAAGGTTTCTGGTACTTGGCGCCTCACTGTGAACCAGCAAGGGTCACAAACCGAGTGGGTACCTGAGCGTCTCAGGCTATCATAGCGGTGGCTGAGAAAAGCCTGCCAGCCCTGGCACTCAGCAGACAGCGCCAGCCGTTGCTAATGCCTTTTCCCATGTCACCAGGCAAGGCATGCAATGCGCCTTTACAACTTCCACAGGGACTTTGGCGTCTCTTGTACCAACGTGAGCCTCTGCTGGTGTCCTGACTTCCCGTGACGTTAGTGATGACAGTGGTTCCTACTGAGGAAACCACACACATCAGCTCTCGGCTGTTTGCTAAAATGGACCCAAATCTGAGCACACAAGCAATCACACAAACCCAAACGCAGGGCATTTTATAACATAACTGGCCTGAACTTGCCAAGAGTCCATTTTATAAAGAACAGTAAACATTAAGGTGTCATCTGTTCTAAATTAAGAGACTAAAGAGATATAATGATTAAAACTATGTGCGTTGTGCCTCAGAATAAACCAAACCTATTGACACCTTGATCTTGGACTTCAGGCCTTGGCCTTCAGAATTAGAAAAAAATAAACTGCTGTTGTTTAAGCCAAAAACAACAACAAAAAACCCCAAAAAAACTATGTATGTTGTGTTTACAGAAAAATGAATATGGCAAATGTTATAAATCCGGGCCTATGAGGCGAGGTTACAGTGTTTTAGACAGGTTCAAGCCTTGGACTGAGGAGAGGGCACAGTCCTCTTGTTGCCACGTGCAAGTCCCAGCTTGGAGGGCAGAGCCTTCCCAGCGCAATTATAGCCAACAGCTGTAGTAAGCTTGAACCTATGGTCTGAACACGTGGCCCACGTGCCTGAATGATAGAGTTCAGGTGCATGTAGTTGAGTAGGGTTGAAACCAATGAGAATGTTGTAAACATCTTGATCACGCCCCTACTTTGCCTCGTGGCATCTGCTATAAAATAAAGACGGCTTGTGGGCGCGGGCGCTGTCCATCAGAGGGGCAGCGTCCCACCGAGACCCAGCTTTCATTCTCTTGTCTGTCTTTTCTAAG